TATATATATATATATATATATATATATATATATATATATATATATATATATATATAGAATATATATATATAAGAAGATAAATGTGTGTGTTGTGTGTGTGTGTGTGTGTGTGTGTGTGTGTGTGTGTGTGTATACACATTTATCTTCTTAAACACTTTTCATAAATTTAATAAATAATACTTGTGAAAAGTCGTTTATCAGTACAACAAATAAAACAAAGTAAAATCTGTTCATTTCGATCATAAAATGTATATTTCGATGTGAAGTCGGATACAAAATAAATTTGATTCAAAATATATGTAATATTTTTGTTTTACTTTTGAGTTTTTTCAATTTATGTTTTATTAATGTTCTATAAATTGTTTCTTTTTTAATATTGCCTTTTTAAAAACGCAGAAACATAAATATATTACTTTTTTGAATTATTTGTGTATCAATCTGCATGTCACTCCTTTACGAACTGTCGGAAAATGAGTCACATGTACTTTAAATAGTCTAATAAAAAGTTAAAAAATAAAAAATTCAGTTTTTCCTAGAGTAAAGAAACTAAGTATATAACAAAAGTAATAAATTGTTTTCCCTACCTTCACAATTCTCAGTAGGCAACGTTATTATTAACTACTATCTTAATCTTATCGTACAGCTACACACATTACACTTTCACACATTCTTACATGTAAAATATCTTATCCCCATGACGCATATTTAACAATACGCCTAAAGAATAACAACCAATCGAGAATCAACTTAGTATTTCTGTTGTATTGTACAATAGAAAGCCTGATTTTTTATTGGTTAGTTTAGGAAGTTATTGGTTACGCTTTAGGCTGCGTTCAGATTCTCCACCCGGGTGTATTCTATTATTAGAAGTGCTATAGTTTATGTAACATATACTGTAGTGTTTCTAGTAATAGAGTGCACCTGGATGAGGAATCTGAACGCACCCTTACGTGAATTTAACGAAATACACGCCATGAGGATTAGATATTGAATGTCGATTTACAAAACGGCGTACTTCTAGTAAATTACTATATTATGCAGGTTACGCTTACGCAATTTACACCGCATGGGAAGGCACCCTTAGACGAATACAGTAAGCAAATTGACCAATCAGAGTCATTGATTCTTCTTACGGTCCGAGAATCAACGACTGTGATTGGTCAATTTAGTTACTACTTACGTCTTACTGCTTAAGTTTTTCTGTGTGCCACGGTCCTAAAGCCAATCAAATCGTCTCATTTTATTCGGCGTAAAGTACACAATAAAATGAGACGATTTAATTGGCTTAACTCTGATGACGCGACACGTGACTCGCTAAGTGGGAACGCACCCAAGGGTGCCATTACATGAAGCGCGGAAACGCGTAAACACGGAAGACAAAATCTTACTAGATCCGTTACACGTTTCGCATCTGTTTTAATTGCTTAGGGTGGAGTCCCATGGAGCGTATTGTGCATATCGCGTATCGAACAGGGTGTATATCAGTTAGACACGGGGCAATTGGACACAGTCCAATCACAAGTCGCTGTTCCAAGGGACCCTACAAATGTCACTAATCACACGGTGCTGTGATTGGCTGTGTCCAAGTGCACCGTGTCCAAGTGCACCGCTCCCTATCGAACATCTGATTAATCGCAGACGTTTTCGATACGCTGCCGTCCCGCCGAATCTATTATTTTCCGCAATACGCAGAATATCTTGACTGCCGATCGAAGAGTGCCACAATGTAACAAAAATTTTAGTCTTTATGCATTTTTTTTTAACAAATGGATATCACAAATAAAGAAAATACAAATCCTTGTGAGTATCTATAGCATTTTGAAATATTATTTTTGTAATATTTGTGATTGTATGTACATTATGCTTTATAATAATATTTGAAGATTAGTTTAGAATTTGATGAAGTATATTTTTGTTTAGTTTAATTACACATTATTTTGGTTTAATATATTTCATTATGAATTACAAATTATTGTGTTTAATGTTCTTTTCTTTTTCATAAAGTCAATTAAATGTGGATATTGCGGGTGGAGAATAAATGGATTATTAAATGTTGATGTATTACAACATTCATGTTTTCAACATTTTAATGATAAAAAACATGCGACAACAATGCAGCATTTATAAGTAATTATTAATACTTAAATATTTTAAGGATAATAATTATTTGTAATAGTATTCAATTCTGTTACAAATATAGATAATTCTTTCTGGTTTAAAATTGGACTTTTTATTTTATTGCAACTTAACAAAAGTCATTTGTAATACAAGAGTTTGACAATAAGTTAATCAGATAAAATTAAGTTAAAAAATTTAAGAACTTTTAACATAAACTTAGTTAATTTTTAGGTCATTAACTTTTAACTTAAATTAGTTTTAAAAAATGTAACTTACTCAACCCTGTGTAATACACATTATTTACGTGTACACACACACACACACACACACATATATATATATATATGTATATATATATATTATTAATAACACAATTGATAGCAATATCGTTTCCGATTTCATTCTGTACCTGTTAAGCAAATTGTAAAATTTTATTTAATTATACTAAATAAATTAATAAATTCAATAAAATTCATTTTAATTATACATATAGAATATTTTTCCGTTTGCTTTTTACTACGATCCAATGTCAGACTATTCTCTGTTTTCGGTACTCGAGATTTTGTCCTATGGTACCATGGAATGGAATTATTGTAAGAGGATCGGCAGTTCGCCAATCACAAAACTGTTTAGGAGGAGGAAATAAAGAAATCATCTCGTGATTGGCTATCCGCTTAATACGCTTACACGAATTCCGCTCCATGCGACTATGGAAATGAAACTCCATGTATCAAAAACAGCGGAATATCTGCGATTGGTCAAATGTTCGATACGTGCAATCCGCGATACACACGATACGCTCCATGGGACTTCATCCTAAGGCCTTTGTACATAGAAAGATTTTAACCGTAACCGTAACGTCGTAAGAAAACTGACCAATCAGAGTTGATTGTCCAGTTCATTCTTTTTGAGTTCGAAGAATAATCGACTATGATTGGTCAGTTTTCTTACGACCTTAAACCCATTCTACAATTGTGTGAACGTGGATGTAAGTGTTGTAAGTGATTACGACACCAATCAGAGTAAAGCAATCAGTGAATAAAACATTCGGATTTGTTGACTCTTAAGCGTCTTCTACAATGGCAGTAGGAGTACTGGATTAAGGCTGTAAACGTTGGAGTAAGCTGGTATTTCTGGTGTATTAGGGTGTAGAGTAAGGCTGTAAGCGAAATGGTTGAATTCCATTTCCTACTTCTTTACTCTCTACTTCTTTACTCTCAGCCAATGAAAACTCATCATTACGTCACGAAAGCGCGCGCGATATAAGCTAGCTAGCTAGTGCAGTCAGATGGGGAAAGAGCCACTATGACAAGTCTGCAATCAAGAAAAGAGAGAGAGAGAGAGAGAGAGAGAGAGAGAGAGAGAGAGAGAGAGAGAGAGAGAGAGAGAAATTAAGTTAGTGCAATTATATGTTCTAACCTACAAATATGTCGGACACAGAGCTCTTTTTTTAAGAAGATATTAGCATTGATCGAGAGCTAATTGCTGTGGTTCGAGCAAATCGGTTTTTATACGACAAGACTGAAAAGTTGTATGCCAATGGAGACGTAAAAACCGAAGCATGGAAGCAGGTTGGCGCGAGCCTAACTAATCCAATAGAAGGTAAGTTTATTTTTGTTACTTGGAAATGTTAATATGGTTTTATAGCGATTTGTTGTTATAGGTTGCTTTCCAATAAGACACAAGTCGACACAAACATCATTCTATTTTTGTTTCACATTTAGTGAGAACAAAAATAGGATGATACTTGTGTTGACTTGTGTCTCTTGTTAGAAAGCAATCATAATATAGACAATGAATGAGGTGTATCAATAAAGGATATGTTAGGCAAGATGTAGGTTACGTTGTAACTTTGGTATACTATAAAAAGATAATATAACACCTGATAATTTGCATTTTACTGCAATGAAATTTAATATATTTGTCAGGTCCTGCTGCCGAGAAGAGATTTTATGTTCTGAGACAGCGCTTTGGGAAAGAGCGGAGAAAAATGGTGCAGTCCATGCCAAGATCTGGAGCTGGAGCAGACCAGTTTACATACAAATCAATGTGGCCATTATACAAGGACCTCATATTCTTGGAGGATATTATCAAACCTAGAAAGTAAGTGTTGTGGTCTGGGAAGTTTTGCATAACAAGTATCATTGACATAATTAATGATTATAATATACTTGCAGAACCTCATCCAACTACAAGTCCAAAGTTGTTGTAAATAGTGAAGCGTCAGTATGTCGTACAACTACCTCATTACCATTTACATCTGCTCCTTCTGATGGTCATATGACAGTGCACACGATTTATCCTTTCTCTTCTCAGTCTGCTGCAGCAAGTTCAGACATGTCCAGTTGGAATTCAGATTCATTAACAAATCTTATAGGTAAGGAGATTAAAAGACTTATTGCATGTCCACAGTTTGTTGTAACATAATCTGAAGTATTCGTCTGTTACATTTTTAGGTACTGACAAGAGTTTCACAGATACATCTGAAAACTCCTTTTTGCCACTTCCTACATCATCTCCTTCAACATCACCTTCAGTTAGATCAGACTTTGGAAGTAATAATACAGTTGTACAGGCGCAAAAAGCTATATCCAGCATTAATACTAAGCGCAAAGTGCCCACACCTGATTCATTTGCGAACAAAAAACGGCAAGAAGTAGATACTATCAATAAGACTTTAATCGAACAGAGTAAAGGATTGACAGACCTTGCAGCAAAGATTGGTAAAGCAATAACGGTTCCACCACCAAATGTTCCGCCAGCAATAGTCAGTGATGCATTTTCTGATATTAAGCCCATGCTGAGTGCCATAGGATTTGCACTAGGAGTAGTACCTAAGAATGTTCAACTTGAATGTCTCATAGGTATATTACAATATATAAATGATTTACTGTTTTTTATTTTACTGTTCTTTCCATTCTTCAATATTTAGCTACTACAAATGTACCAATGCTTGGACATGTACTTAATTCCGTTCTTATTATTTTGAATATTTCTCTAAATATTTCATCGTTCAATGTACATTAAATATAAATATTAAATGTATGTATACCAATATGTATGTATTGTACGTTGAAAGTTGAAATATTCATATTCAAATATAAAAATAATAACAATGTCCGGAGATGGGTACATATCCGGGCATTGATACATTTACCCTATATCGTAATGTTTTCACGTTGTACAAATAGATAACTTTTGTCAATGCTGATTGGCTCATTGTAATTCTTGCTACACGCTATTGTAGACACTCGGGCGTAAGGAAGCCTTAAACCTACAGTCTACGTCTTACAACTACTCCCTTCATCCAGTACTCCTACTGCCATTGTAGAAGACGCTTTATGGTCACGACTACGCTTACGCAATTGAAGAATGGGCTTTATAGTTACGGTTAAAAATTTTCTACGTGCAAAGGCCTTTAAAAGTCCGTCTACAATGGGATTGGCGTTAGCTGTAAGACAAAAGTAATAAGCGAGTTAACCAATTACAGACGATTATTACAAGAATAATCGACTATGATTAGTCAATTTGTTTATTACTTACGTTTTACTGCCTACTTTCTGTCCCATTGTAGACGGACGTTAAAGCGTCGTATACAATATGTGGAGTAAGCTTGGAATAAGAAATAAGTCGTAAGAATTAAGGGACGTCTACATTGGAAGTAAGCAGTAAGAAGTAGGAAGTAAGAATAAGAAATTGACCAATCATAGTTGATTATTCTTCTCACATTCGACTGTGGTTGGTCAATTTCTTACTCTTACTTCCTACTTCTTGCTATTTACTTCCAATGTAGACGTCCCTTTAACCATCATAGATGATTATTTTTATAATAATCGACTACGCCAATTCTTACGGCTTACTTCTTATGGCTCCTGCACACAGGACGCGGTAACGCATGCTGCGCGGCAGAAATCTGCGCGAGAGCCAATCAATATGTTGTTTTTCCGTAAGAGCTTAGAGAGAAGGTTATTACGGAAAGCAGCATATTGATTGGCTGTCGCGCGAACTTCCGCCGCGCGGCAAGCATTACCGCGTCCTGTGTGCAGGAGCCATTACTCCAAGCTTACTCCGCAAATTGTAGACGACATTTAAAGGGACATCTACATTGGAAGTAAATAGCAAGAAGTAGGAAGTAAGAGTAAGAAATTGACCAACCACAGTCGAATGTGAGAAGAATAATCAACTATGATTGGTCAATTTCTTATTCTTACTTCCTACTTCTTACTGCTTATTTCCAATGTAGACGTCCCTTTAAGCTGATGGCATATAAAAAAACTTAAGCAGTAAAACGTAAGCATTAAACGAATCAGCCAATCACAGTCGTTGATTCTTGGACCGTAAGAAGAATCAACGACTGTGATTGGTCAATTTGCTTACTACTTACGTTTCAAAAATAATCGTTTGTGATTTGTCTATTTACTTACTGCTTATTTTGGGTGGGATCCGATTGACCACGATACAATAGGACACAGATTGTATTGATTGGTTCGACCTAGTAATTCACTAGATATTTCTTTTCATCGGTTGGTTGTGTCCAATCGTACCTTGGTCAATCGGGACGCTCCCCTTATTTCTAACTACTACTCCTACTGCCATTGTAGAAGACGCTTTAAGAGCCATCTACAATGGAGAATCGTACGCTGCAGCAGTAAGAAATTAACCAATCACAATCGATTATTCTTGTAAAAATCCAGTATGATTGGTCAATTTCTAACTGTTACGGCGTACGGTTTTCCATTGTAGATGTCCCCTTAGGCACCTTCAGATTTATTCTAGTAATATATTCTGTTAAGAAAGTTGCCTAAACTGCACATTTACATATAGTTACATACATTGGTAAAATGTGAGGAAACAATGCCTGCGTGCTGCTGTACGAGATAATCTTAACAGCAAGTATTGCTTGCGAAAGATAGTTGCTTCTGTTTTGTGATGGCTGAAATCTGATTCTGTTCAGTGTTTTAGGACATGGAGTTAAGTTTATCTAACACGTTATTAGCCGGTGATCCACGATTAATCGATCATATAGTGGGTGAAGTTAAGTCCCAAGGCATTTTTGATCAGTTTCGCAAAGAATGTATTGCTGATGTTGATACAAAGGTAAGTAAAGTAAATTTGTCACAATATCATTTGTGACAGATTCGAAATTTCTGTCTAACATATTTAATGATAATGAAAATGGTGTAATATATAATATAAAATACAAATTCCATATTGTCAATAATATAAAATGTAAAATTATATTATCAAATTATGCATTTTTAATAGTTTATCAATAGATAATTATAGCGTTATAACCATATAGTTATGCTATATTTTTTGTAAAAATTTTTCATTTAGAATTGTTTTATTTATTTCTAACAAATATAAAAGAGCTGTATATTAAACAGCTTAATTTAAACTAATTTTAGAGGTTTCTATTATGATATGAATTACATTATTACATTAATAATATCTAAATAAATAGCATATAGTATCTAGTAATACATAGTATTATATAATTTCAGCCAGCGTATCAAAATCTAAGAACAAGAGTTGAAGGGTCTGTAAACTCTTTTCTTAGTAAACAAACATGGAAGCCAGATCTGAACAAGAATCAACTCAGGGAAACTTTGCGCAAACATATACACGATGCACCATACTTAGATGCTGGTGTAGAACGAATAGTGGATCAGGTGGTGAATCCCAAGGTTTATTCAGTTTTTATGCCACAAATAGAAGATGTAGTTTACAAGTTTCTGGGTATAGAGAAACCAAAAGCAAAAGAAAGAAATGGTGGTTGCGGTCTCAAAGATTTATTACCTAAAGATTTGGATCCAGTCTCACCAGAATCTGATAAGAACAGCTTCAAAGACTTATCTTTTGGATCTGTGGATGCGAGTGACAACCTAAATGAAAAGGAAGATGATAAAATATGCAACGAATATAAGCTGCAGGACAAGTTACCATACGCAGATAGAGATAATACTGGTTCTGAGAATGGACATATTTCCTCTGAAGAGAAAACATTCAATGAAGCTTGTAAGACTCTTAGTGCAGCTAGTAGTAATATAAATTTAAACATATCTGGCAAGTCAGATGATAAAATAGATGAAGAGGAAGAAGACAGTCCGATCTTTGAGCCAATTGACATTATGAATCTAAATGAGTCTAACATTTCTAACGATTCACACTTGTCAGGAATATCAGAATTAACTAGTCATAGGTCTAAAAGCCCAGATTTTTCAAATGAATTGTCACGAGATAATTTTGACTGTAGTAATCAGGATTCTCAGCTTAGCAAAGTTTCATCAGATTCTCGATTATCAATTGTAACGGATTTTGGTTCTTCTAGCCATGGCTTAACACCAATTCTTGACACATTAAAAGATGAAACAATGAAGGATAAGTATGAAGCCAAAAATACTAAAGACAATTTTAGAACAATAAAAGAACTTGATTCATCTAGGAATAAAATAATTAAAAACAATTTTCAATTCATTAAATGCAAAGATATTCAAGGGAATAAAGACTCGAAAGATATTAAAAATACTAAAAGTGCATCTAGAGAAAATTCTCGTGACGCTACAGACAGTGGTGTGAAGGATAATGAGTATAAAAACTCCAAAGAAAAGGTCAAGGATAGTGAATTTATTAAATTTAAGAGCACAAAAGAAAAGATTAGCAGCAAGGATGCAAAATGCCCTAAGGATAAAAATAATGAGAAGAAAAAAGTAAGTAGTCATAGCAGTGTAAAATATGATAAACACAGTAAAAATAAACCTAAAGAAAAAATTGATCAAATAAGAGATAATTTCGACAAAGTTAAAGATAGCTCGGAAAATTTAAAGGAGAATGCTAATAAATTGAAGGATGAGAAGCTCAAGGAAACAGACAAGAAAGATAATATTAATAAAGAAGCAAAAGATTTGAAGGATCTCTATAAGGAAAAAATTAGGGAACTTAGAGAGAAGAAGGAATTAACAGAGAAAGAAAAGTTAAATAAGGACAAACTTAATAAGGAAACTAAGGATAGGAAGGATTCTTCTAAGGATAAGAAATCGAGCAGAAAAGAACATAAAAATCCATCGTCATCGTCCAAAGCTCCATCTGTAAGTTATCATGAAAATAAAAGCAGCAATAGAACATCAGCAGAGAAAGTTGCGGATGGCAAGGATAAAAGGACTGACATGAAAGATAAAATAAGACGAGAGGAGAAACGATTGTCGAAAGATAGTAAAAATAAAACTTACTTCAGTAATAAGACAGATCTACCGGACAAGTCTGAGAAATATGATCTAAAAAGAACTTCTAGAGGCGAGAGGGAGGATAAGACCATAAAAGCGGATACGAAGAAAGACGTTAAGATGAGTGGTGAGAAAACAAATGGTAAGAAGGACGCAAAGAATTATTTTCAAAGCAAAACTTCAGATCGTAACGACAAACTGGATAGTAGGAAGGATTCGAAAAATGATAGTCAGCCCAAGGATAAGAAGCGTAAAGAAGAAAAAAGATCTAAAGCAAAGGATGATCATTCCAGTTTACGGAAAAACTCAAATGATCGACGTTCTACAGATAGAGATGGATCAAATGGTTCAAACAGTAAAACCTCGCAATCCAATAATTCCAATTCCAATTCAATGAGCCAGAAATCAAGCTCGTCGAGTTTGACGAAGGAAAATCAAGTTAACAATTCTAATAGCGAAACATCTGATAACATTGAGGAAGTGCAAGTGAATAACATAAAATTTTCGCACCATTCAAACTGTAAATTATTTCACAAAACCAGTTTACAATCGACTAGTGACAAAAACCATTTGAAAATTGAGATCGACGATAACGATGAAGCATATGATACGCAAGAAGAAATGGATTCGTATCAGACGAGTTTGCCTTTGAAAAAGAGACATTTGTATAGTGACGAAGACGATAAGTCAACTTCCAGTGATATCGTAATTAAAAAGCCGAAGTTTGCAAAGAATATACACGAAGCTAAGAAATTAATGAAAATCAGGAAACAGATGGAAAAGCAAATAAAGGAAGAATCCTACAAAGAAGATAAGAAAATAGAGAAGATTACACAAGAAACGGAGCAGACGGGTCAATTAAGTACAACGAGACACGACGTCGACAATCTCGCGAGCATGCCGGATGACGAACGTGTTCAAATTATAGAAATCCCCGACGAGGAATACGATGAGCCTTATCCCGAGAAGGAATTTAATTCAACGTTAGATGAAAGATCAATAATAATGTTAGGAGCTGAACCATGCACGAAAGATTTTCTGAATAGTCATAATACAAAAGCGACTTTGTCTAATATGGAGTTGTGTATAAGAGAATCCTTAAGTGAGATTGTATCGAATATTTCATTGGGAGCAGTAATCACACAATCGAATGATTCTTATCGACAGTCTTCTACTTTTTCATCTGCTGTTTCGACGATACACACCAAAGATACAGAAAATCTACTAGCATTTAAAGAGGAATGTGAGGATGACTTGAAAATATATTCAAAGAGTAAAACTCAGTCGACAGATGCAATCGTGTGTGTAGAAAAATCTTCTGACAACCTGCTAAGAGAGACTCCTGCTTCACCAAACCAGAAAAAAACTACTATTTTGAAGGAATCAGAATTCACAATACACAATACAATACATAATAAAAACGCGGAACAACTAATAGAGGAGAACAAGAAAGTATGGGATTATCATCGAGAAAAAATAGGACACGATAACGAAGAGATAGATATTAATAATAGTAAGACAAACATACAAGATAACGAGAAAGTAGAATTGCTAGGTGAAAAGCAAATAGAAACGTGTATACAATCAAAAATTAACGCAGTGGATTTACAGAGCGATTGTAAAGGAACGATGTCTTTCGTTAATGAGGACAACGAGGATTGCCGTTATTTCAAAACCGATAATGAAAGATCAGAGAAATTCTCCAATTATTTAGAATCTCTAGAATTAGTAGGAAGTTCGTCTCTGGAAGATATAATAGAAAGTCTAGGCGGGAAGGTTGTTTCTTCCGTATCAAAATCCATAACGCCAAGATTCTCCAAACCCAAGCGCTCATCCAGCCCCTTATTAGATATATTAGTAAATAATTCAAATAATAACAATGATGGCCACAAACAAAAGCTGTCTTCATCCACTAATGAAGATGTACATGGCGTCAAGAAGAGGAAAGTATTCACGACTAAGAAATCAAGACTTCCGAATTTCTGTAATACGCAAGGGATTTCAAACGGCGAGAATTTTGTTATGCCTCTGAGTCCGGACAGTGATGTATCTGCAACTAGCGAGAAAACGGCGTCGTCAAATGCGATAAAAGAGGAAAAGAGGTATGTGTCATACATTGCGATGTTGTTCTTGAGATTTTATGTGACATTTATATATAAAATATTTTTTAAATTGAATGGCGATACATATCTTACGTATGTACAATCGGTGTCGAAAAGTTTGTTTGGTATTTTTTTGTGAGTTTCGAAACTTATTCATCTCTTCCAATAAGACAGTTTTCCTACTAGAAAATATATTCTTCAGAGACAAGAGACAAGTAGATTCCTAAACTTACAAAAAAAAGACAATCTTTCCGATTCCGATTTGTACAGTTATTTGCATAACAGTTTGAATAAATTTTTTTTTTCTAGTGAAGTTAGAAGTGTATTAAGTTAGATTAATAATTACAGCACACTAGTTTGTGTGATACTTTGTTATAACAGGTGTCGAAGTAATAATACATGATGTACAAATAAATTTGATCAAGATAACGTAATAATATACCTCCGATTTAGGACCATTGCAACACACACACACACACACACACACACACACACACACACACACACACACACACA